AAGTAGGTTTAAAAAGCTATATAAAATGACGTTTTCATACATTTTTCCATGATACAAAAAACAAGGTAGTTCCATTGTCACTTTTTCGTCGCCATATTAACAACCTGACAATTAAGCAGATTGTGACATTTTGTGCTACCATATCCAATATCTAAAATCCTCCAAATTTTATTATTAATTTTTTGTTTATTTAAAGCGTTTTGTTCTTATAATCGAAATTTGAACAAGCAAACGGTCTTTTGTTGGATATGGTTCGGTTATTTGTCCAATGATTTTGGGTTATTGTGTCCACACGCGTATCCCAAATAAAAAAAAGTGAAAGTGAAAGTAAAGATTTAAAATTTTCGAACACTAAATTGTTAACAAATTCGGTGTGAAATATGCACTTTTTTGTAAAAAATACCGTGTAGCCGGAGGCAGATTAGGGTTATTTTTTCTAAGCGCGGCCGATGGCCTCCAACGCGGAGAGGTATTCTGCGCGTAAGTCCTTTGGTTGCCATAACCCGTGCTTACATTTTCTGGCAAAATGCTAAGTTTACCCCATTTTCAAATGGGTGCCGAGCGGTCAGAGAGGTGAAGGGTGACTTGCCTTAGAGTTTGGGCCGTTCTCTTTCTAATGATTGGAGTCATCAATTTTCTCACACCCGCACCAATATTGAACAGTAAACTATATTTAAGGGATTCGCAAGCCACCATAAAAGTCATATTATGAAATTTCACACCATTAAAAAAGTATTTGGTTGTGGTTGCAAGTCCTCTAAACATTTGTTTAGCCGTTCAAAACTTTATGATACACGACAATAGGACACTTACGACACCTTGTGAACCACCTAAGTATGTATAATATTCACACCGAAATGTGTATATTAGAAACAATTATCTTCAGTATAGAAAACCGTAATAGTCCTTGCTAGATACATTGTAAAATAATCAGATTACAAAAAGCCACAAAAAAGTTTGAAAACCCCTACATATATATATATGTGTATGTTCACTAAAATTTAATTAACCTAAATGGGAAGTGATCATCGTATTTAGTGTAAAATTTAAACATTTTTAAGATACGATTTTAATTACTTTTAAACAGTTAATGTTATTAAAACTATTTTATACATAATTACAAATATATGATATAAAATCCCCTCTACCAAAAAACTTAAATTGGGTAACGGCGCCTCGATTTTTTAACAATTGAGCAATTGTCAAAAATCTGCTTTTTAATCAAAAAGTTGTTTATTGAAACTACCTTCTTTTTTGTATCATGGTATCTAGTACGATGTTTCAAGTCACCCACTACTCAATCAATTGCAGGTACAATTACTAATCACTTTCGGCATTATCACGATCTTCATATACGTAACAGCAGTCAAAGACTGGGTTCATCGCACACAATGGATATTTTGGGTTGCACTAGCAGTGCTTTTGGTAACCATGGTGTGTATGGCTTGCTGCGAGAGTGTACGACGCAAAACACCGTTGAACTTTATTTTCCTATTTCTCTTCACATTGGCGGAATCATTTCTGCTAGGTGTAACCGCTACATATTATGCTTCCAGTGAGGTAAGTACATAGTAGATTTTTGGTGGACAAGTGTATGAATAAATCTAACAGTTCAAATTTTTCAAAGGTGATGTTGGCCGTTGGCATAACAGCTGCTGTATGCCTCGCCTTGACGCTATTCGCCTTCCAAACCAAATGGGACTTCACCATGTGTGGTGGCGTCCTATTGGTTGCCATTGTTGTATTCCTCATATTTGGTATTGTGGCAATCTTCATACCCGGCAAAGTGATAACGCTCGTCTATTCATCGCTGGGTGCATTACTCTTCTCCATCTATTTGGTCTATGATACACAATTGATGATGGGCGGTAAGCATAAGTATGCTATTAGCCCCGAGGAGTATATTTTTGCGGCGCTCAACCTTTACCTGGACATTATCAATATTTTCATGTATATTTTGGCCATAATTGGAGCGTCAAGGGGATAAGTTTAATCAGTATAAATACATACATATTAATGTATGTACTTATGTAAGTGTGACATGGAGATTAATTGCCATATTGTTTGCTGCGTCGAACATATGTATGTACACCTTAATTCAAAAAAGCCCTAACCAACAAATTTTTTATTTTACAGGAGAAGTAAAAAACATTATAAAAAGAGTATCAAAAACAGGTAGGGATTTTTAAAAAGTTGCATGTAGCCCCGCTGTTTTT